TTTTAAAGGACTTTTCATGATTTTTTGTGTAGATAGAGAGTTAAATGCATAAATCATATTTGACGAGATTGTTGACATTTTTGGACAATATCACTAGACCATACCTGGATGGAAAATGTGATCATTTTAAAACTTGGAATTTAAACAGTCTATATACGCAGATAAATTAAAAAATCATGTTTGAGTTTATACTAAAATGAGAGGGTAATTTTCTGGGTCAACTTGAATATGGAGGTGTACACGTGTATTAGGGAGCACGCGCGTTACAAATGTCCTTTGAAATTCAGCAAAAGTAGAACTCTTTTGAGAAATCTTGGCTATGGCCCAAGTATGGCAGTCACATCACAAAAGAAATCGAAGTGATGGATAATAAATGCTATACCCATTCAAATGCTAAATATAAATGATAAGTACATGTGTGCTTTTCATACTAACTCATTTCAAAAAGTTTCTATTATTTGATATTTGCTCCTGGGGACTAATAAGCTCCGGGCAAGATTTTTTTGTTTGAAATAAAACAAAACGAAGGCGCAAAGATTTGTAAGAAAATGTGTTTTCATCAGTAGTAAGACAATAAGTAGTTGTTTTTATGTTAAAATAAAAAATAACAAATTTTATGTTAAATTAATCATTTTTTGAAAAAGATTTAAAGAGTAAATCAATTTGTTAGTATTTAAGACATTTGGTTTATTTCACCGGATATGAAGCTGCTTTTAAGTTGTGCGAAATTAATGTTATTTCTTTGCATAATGTCATGATGATCCGAGGTCTTCTCAAAATTAGACAATCCCAATCCTTGCCTAAGGTTGCCAAACTTTTGGAGAGAATTGTACAACTTAATTATGTTTTTATTTACTGGTCATATAAATTTAATTTAATGTTTCTGGTTTTCCACAAATATTTTTTGGGAAACCCTGACCGGGGGTTCGTCCGAACCCACCGAACCCCCGGTCCCTACAGCCATGCAAAAGTACTATTGAAAAAATCGAACATATTACATGGTGTCCTAAACATTTCTTTATTGTATTGTATTGTATTTTGTTTACCACCAATGAAGGTGAGCAATACCTCTTGGGTATGTCCCGTATATATATGGTCGTAATTTACGTAATTACCATCACTGCTACCCACCTAATTACACAGACGTATCGTCGGTGTATCATGGCGGAACTTCCTCTGGGACTAGGTTTCGGTAAGATTTTTTTATTTCCCGATTTACACCTACTTATTAGTCACGTTGTGGATAATAATTTGGCTCGAAGTTAAGGAAGATAGTCTAGTTTGAGAATTTGTCGATGGTTTTAGGTTTTATATGTTAACAAAGACACAATTCACGTATTTAGTCCCTCGCTTTTCTTACACTGACGAACGACCAATATCAGTGTAATATTGGCAATATTAATGCCGATCGTCACCTTCATAAAGTTGGATAAAATATACATGTGTATAATGAAGGTAGAAACGCATTATCATGTCTTAAATATTATATTACACCCCCTTAATAAGTTTAACAACTTAACGGTGTATATCATGCATGTGTTTAATGAAACGCATTATGAAACGCATTATCATGTCTTAAAGCTGGACTTCCCTCCGAAACGCAATCTTGGGTTGTTTCGGGGGTGAACTTTATCATTTTGAGCTTAATGAAAGATTATAGAATGATGAACAAATGGGGCAAATCTTGTGTAGAAATACTTACGATAAATGTGTCATTTCAAAGATTTTTAATTGAATTTGCTTCGATCGGTGCCGGCGATATGATTTTGGAAAGGTTTCTAAATGAAGAACGTGACGTCACTTCCGAATCATAGCATTCAAAATGACTAGCGTTTAATTACTATTACTCTTCACTAGGACACGGTGGTGTAGGGGTAGAGTCCTCGCATAGCACGCGGGAGGCCCGGGTTCGGATCCCACACCCGCCTTTTTATTTTTTTAACTAAATGATTGTTCTTTGATATTACGCAGAAAAAAACAATTTTTATTTACATAAACTTTATATTAGAGCTTGAAAGTGTAAAAACAATATATGTCAACATATTGCGTTTTGGAGCGATGTGCAGGTTTAAATATTACATCCCCCCTCATAAGTTAAGTAATTACACCCCCTTCATATTTTTGGAACTGAAAGTTGGTGTATGATGAAGGAAGAGACACATTGATCATGCCTTAAATATTATATTACATCCCCTTCATAAGTTTGACAACTTAAAGTTGGAAATCAAGTCTGTCTGATTGGAATTCTAGATGCCATATTTATGGAGGGACTGTAAAGAATAATGATTTTTTTTTCAATCTAGTTAAATCAACAATCTTGGTGAGTACTTCTCATATATTATATTTATTCATTTAAATTTCAATTCTATTCCATAGTAAAAATTAGCCACTTTGGAACCCTTTGTATTTTGACAGAACTGTAATATCAAAAAGATGATTGAGTGGATTGGTCTAGACATACACCGTAGATGGTTTAATTCAATTAAAACTAAAATATATCACTTGACCATATATGGTGCTTTTAATGTTTAGTAACTTTCTAATATTCTTGCAGCTAATCATTATAGGTTTTTGGGCGATATAAAGATGGCAGCACGGTAAAATCCTATTTAAAATTACTGTACTCCCAGTAAATTTCGCGAGTTTTAATTTTTAGAAAACACAACTTCACCGCTATTAAATTTCGCTAATTTCACGAAGTACACCTACTACTATGTCATCTTGGTCAATGACGTGCTGCACCTTAACCTCTTTTGCATCGTAATTTTGGGGTTTATTTGAAGCCACTGTAACAGACATTGTTACCTAGTACCTTATTTATCGCCTAAAACACTTGACAAAGATTTTACAAAACACAAAATGCAATGAATTTAATCTAACAATTTTCGCGTTTTTACCACAATCGCGAAAAGCGCGAAACTAAATTGCACACGAAAAATTTACACAGAACCTTCAGGTAAAACTGCCAATTAATATGGTACTTCAATTAAATCAGCATTTATGATTTTTTAATGTCAAAGTAGCTAGACATTAACAAATACCTCATGATCAGTCCTCATTCTAGAGGATTTAATGTTCTAGTTTCGATTCATCATTTTCAACAAGGAGTGGTTAACCCTAGTTGTTTACTATCCATGTATGCTTGCCCTAAAGCATCACATCTTAAATTTCCGATCTCCCCAGCATTAGAGCAACCGGGTTCTTATCTGTGTCCCATTGAAAATCTTCAAAGTATATGGCATCCACATCCTGTTGAAATTTTGTTAGCAACCTGCCTAAAAGTTTAAGTATTGGGATATTTTATACAGATATGGTACACTGCCCCCCCCCCCCCCCCCCCTTGGGTGGGCCCAGAAAAAAAATTAGTACCGTGGGTACTGGGCTCACATGGTGTTGCTCAAAAGTGAAAATAAAAAAGACGGGTATAATTTTTTGCAGATTTTTTGTGACAAAATTATTTCATACAACTACTCTTTACAAAGACATGTCTTTTTACAATGCAGGACACCTGAACTTATTTGTAAAGCTAGGAAATGGACCAAAAGTGAATTTCCCGAGACAAAAATGGTGGCCATTTTGAAATTAGGCGAGATTTTGAAGCAGGAGTCACAGGTTTTTTTCTTTATTGATGTTGAACAAAATTATTTTAAATCGGGAATCCTATCTACAGAGGATTTAAAAAGTGTTGACAGAGGTTTAAAACTTGCCACTTTTTTTGACTGACTGAGAGACAGATGGACGAATCAATGTTAACTAAAATGGCTGAAAATAAAAAAAACTGATATAATATTTTGCCGATTTTTTGTAACAAAATTTCATACAACTACTCTTTACAGTGACATGGCTTTTTACAATGCAGGACAGCTGAAATTATTTGTAAAGCTAGGAAATGGGCCAAAAGTGAATTTCGCGAGACAAGAATGGTGACCATTTTGAAAATAGGCGAGCTTTTGAACCAAGAGTCATAGGAGAGTTTTTTGTATTGATGTTGAACAAAATTAACTTAAAACAGGAATCCTATTGACAGTGGGTTTAAGGCAAATGGTCCAAAAGTGGATTTTGCGAGACAGATGGACAAATCAATGTTAACTAAAATGGCTGAAAATAAAAAAATAGATATAATTTTTTCGCTGATTTTTTGTAACAAAATTATTTCATATATCTACTCTTTACATTGACACAGATTTTTACAATATAGGACACCTGAAATTATTTGTAAAGCTAGGAAATGGGTCAAAAGTGAATTTCGCGAGACAAAAATGGCGGCCATTTTGAAAATAGGCGAGCTTTTGAACCAGGAGTCATAGGGGAGTTTTCTGTATTGATGTTGAACAGAAATAACTTAAAACAGGAATCCTATCGACAGAGGTTTTAAAACGTGCCAGTCAAAAGTGAATTTCGCGAGACAAAAATGGAGGCCATTTTGAAAATAGGCAAGCTTTTGAACCAGGAGTCATAGGGGAGTTTTCTGTATTGATGTTGAACAGAAATAACTTAAAACAGGAATCCTATCGACAGAGGTTTTAAAACGTGCCACTATTGTTGACGGACAGACAGACGGACAGACAGACGGACGGACAGACAGACGGACAAGTGAGCGATTGCAAAAGCTCACCATGTGAGCTAAAAATTGGGCCCTAAACAAATTTGGGCGAAACAAGGCCTTAAAACCCAAAAAATGGGCCTTTTTGATTTTTTCTCTGACCTGAAATTTGGCCCCCCTTGTTGGTTCCCAGATCCGCCCCTGTGGTATACTGGTATAATCAAGATTAAGCTCCCTGTTGAGAAAAAAAACCTGGAGAGATCACTGTTATGTATGCAATGCAGCTAATACTGTAATAGGGCATATTGTATGAGGTAGATGATCCTCACTTCCAGATACTCCAGGCCCGTACTCCCAGGGAGGAGGAGGGTTAAAATATTTTCAAAATATTGCATTTTTAAACCAATTTTGAGCACTTTTAAATGGTTTTGGATTAAATTGTCAAATCTGTCAACTTTGGAATTTTTTCAAAGCTGCCCCCCTCCTAACAAGAGCCTGGCTATGTGCCTCCCCTCCTCATTCTGTAGCTAACGTCCTTGCCTTTGTTTTCTCAGTAGGCCTCTGTGGTGTTGAATTGTCTTTAGCCTTCAATTGATTCTTCTTTTCCATTACTACACTACTAAATATTTGATCAAATCTTGCGACACGCTTTGTACTTCTTGGAGTCTTTGTGCCTGAAAGGAGATGGTAATAATAGGCTATGTAAGTATGCAGGATTTTCTTAGAGTTTTTCATAAATATATATATATGTCTACTCGTATAAGTTTGGTTGAATTTTGTTGAGAAAGAATCCTGACAATTTCCAAGATAAAAAATTAAGGTATCCATGATGGGTTTTCTTATGAGTTTTTCACAACAGGCAACTGAATGAAAACAATAAGCAAAATTTTGGAAATTATCATCATAATTTTTTTCCAAGCTTTCATCATTACAAAAAATGTTTATATCGAATTTATGATCGTGCAATTTAAAACATAATACCATTCTAAATTAAAAAAACAATGTGGGGTAATTTAAGATTAGAATTAGATATTGGCCCTTCAAGTTAAATAACGTAAGATGAGAAATCAACATTGATTTAGAAATCTTTTAAGGAACGGCAAATGTGTTTAAAAATGTTACCTGGTGTTTTCCTTGGTGTTATCTTTTCTAAGCCTCCGTCTCCAAAATCGTCATCAAAGTCAAATTCTGTTGGAGCTGCAGGTCTGAAATTTAATAAAATGCAAGTTCATAAAAGTAGCCAACTGATTCTATGATACACTGGGGCTATTCATGGAAAAGACAACATGGTTTATGTTGTATCATACTGTAGTCTGGGTCAGTTAAATATAGAAGAACCAGAATATACATGGCATTGATACGCAAAATGTCACCACTGCCATTTGTTACAGACACAGAATGCCAAACACCAACCACCGCCACAAAAAGTTGGAGACTGTAACAGATGTCTTACATGTGGTTGGGACATAATAGTGGAAGCATTCTGTGAGCTCACATATTGAAAAAAGCAGATTTCCCAAAAAATGAGGCTTTCGAAGTACTAGCATGGACTCCAACAAAATGTGCTTTGGTTCAAAAAATTGAAGTTATCATTTGACAGACAGTTATGCATTGCACTGACCTTGATAAGTGCATTGGACAAGCGAGTGATCCATCTAGGCTCACCATGTTGTCAAAAGTGATTTGCACATAAAAAAGAACATTGGAGATATCTTAGGAGTTATTTGTATTTGAATGGTCATTTCTGATTTACAAAGGCAGAAACAATAAACTATAAGTGTGTACAAATTAAAGAAATGTTAAATTATCAACCAGGCGCTGCAGGCTTATGCTCACTACATATACCTTGGCTGAAATAAAATGCTAAATTTTGCACAAAATGTACCACCATTTTAAAAGATGTAGCCATCTTATTGAAAATCACCAAAATTGTTTGAAACTATTTGAGTTTTCCTGAAATTTTTTCCTAAACGTTGATTAGGATAATAAAGTGGGATAGGGGAATTAAACATACAAGTGAAGTTACATACTTGTCATGTTGTGTGGGAGATTCAGAATCAGTATCCGCAACTTCCATGTCCAAATCTTTCTCAAGAGGGGATGGAGACCTTCTTGGTGGAATCGTCCATTCCATAGTTAACTCCTCGCCTTTAGATAGCTTTTCATAGAGTTTTAAAATGTCTTTGGGATCTGGTTCCCATTGGCCTGCAATTGGTGCAGGTTTGTACCTCTCGTCGTCATCACTGCATTCAACACGCCAGTCATCAACTTTTTCCTTGTCTGTATCCATGTTAGACTCAAATATTCTGGCGATCAATGGAGGGTTCATCTATTATGCATCCATCTGAAAAACAAAAATAATGTACATAATAAGTGAGAATTGAACAAATGCAAAGGCAGCTGGAAACCTGATGCAAGGCCGCAGAATGAGACCTCCTTGGAAGAATTGGTACGAAATATTGGGCTGTATGCATTGAGTATAGGTGGCCAAACATAACCCTGAGTGCAGAGTGATAGTTATACACTACCCTCTGTCTAGTGAAGACCAGAGGGGGATTAACACCAGAGTTCAAAGATGACATACATGTACGCTTATAATGTAAACCTGTATTGAGATGACATACATCTCTGATTGGTCAAAAGTTGACAAACAAATTATGTCATCAATGGCGGTTTCAAAATTTTCGAAATACGCTTCGAATAATATTATGTTCATTTCTGGCGTGTTAACCAATATCATAGCTTCTCATTTCACATCAAGATAAAGAAAGGTGTACGGAATATGCATATATCAATTAAAAACATCCCATTGAAGTGTAGTATTTGATAACTAGCCAATGAAAGCAAGAGACGTAATTATGTCTGTCATCTTTAAAACTCTGGGGCTTTCCCTCCTCTTAGTGAAGACTATACCGGTACATGTATGATGGTGCCTGTGACCATTGGGCTTTCAACAGACGGACCAGGTCATAAATCATTTCAAACCCACTGACCTTTTTTCAACCAATCAGTGAGCTGGAAGGAACACATGCTAAATGCGGGCTCATTAACTACAATGTATGCAATCATGTCAGGGAAATGAACAGATATATATAGAAAGTCGTCCATATTTCAACAACGAACTTAGATTGGTTTGATGAGTTCAGAGATTTATTGTAAATTGAAAGGGTGAAGACGAAGATCTCAAAAGAAGTGAAGATGAATTAAGGCAAAAACCTAGACTATATCCTCTAGTCTGAAATATTTTTTGAAATTTGAAATGAAAATACTCAGACTATAGCCCAAATATATTAAAATTTGGGATTGAAAATTATTTGTTTACATAGGAAGTGCCATTCAAAATGGCTGATGGGGTTAATTAATTTTCATATTTGTTACTTCCCCTAGCTTTATTTCCATTTGACAATACGCTGTGTTACTTTTTATAGCATTTAATTATACCTTACTACTGTTATAATGTTTATTTTTGGGAAGTGAAGCTTCCTAAAATTTATGTGCAGGAAGTTTCCTGTTTTCACCCACAGGTGGGACATAATGATAAATAGACTGAATTCTCAAGATATTCAGTCTATTGGATATAAATTACTACCCCCAGTCACTGTATAACTAATGTAAAAAATATTAAATCCCCCTCCCAGTCACTGTACAGGGTGGGCCAAATAATTTTGCAACCTTTTCAGAAGGCAAAAAAAGTATCATAACATTATGGTTTTGACATGAAATTTTTTTTACAGAAACTTAAGGATAGGCATATTTTACCATTCAAATACTTAAGCTAATACTGACTACACATTTTTTTGTCAGATGTTTGAATATTAATGGTAAATTGTTCATGTGTCCGATTTACCGATTTTCCTAGAAAATGTGATTTTCTATAATTTTATGTGATCATCGATAGAACATTTATTATGTTCACTAAATCTGCTGCAATCTTCGTTAAGTGGTGTATTGGGCGGCTATTCATCAGGACTAATGAATCAGGGGGTATTTTGCTCCAGATATTCCATAGTGACTTTTGGTCTATGGTCAAGAGCGCTATCCTGCTGGAATATGTAATCACTTGGGGCTGAAAGAGCCCCCATTCTTGAAAGATGTCCCTTTTGAAGAAGATTAGTCCTGAGTCGAATGGCCATCCAATACACCAGATGCCAACCCCTGGGACTATCACACATGGGGGCACCTGGAGCAATGTATTGTAGTTAATGGTTATACCCCACAAATTATTGATCAACTATAAGAAGTTCTGCAGGATAAGTGGAGACGACTACCACAAGAACTGCTGGATCTCGCCATTGACCAATTCAGTTCTCGTCTCCATGTGATTGTGAAAGTGAAAGGCGGATGCATAGAACAATATTACCATAGTGACTAGATACTGATGTAAACCTGTACTAGACATTGGTTAAACAGTTATCAAAGATTGAAACAGATTTAGTAAACATAATGAATGTGTTATTGTTGATCACATAAAATCATAGAAAGTCAGATTTTCTAGGAAAAATGGTAAATCTCTGACAAATGGACAATTTACCATTAATATTCAAACATCTGACAAAAAAATTTAAAGTCAGTATTAGCTTAAGTTTTTGAATGGTAAAATATGCCTATCCTTAAGTTTCTGTAAAAAAAAATTCATGTCAATACCATAATGTTATGATACTTTTTTTGCCTTCTAAAAAGGTTGCAAAAATTTTTGGCCCACACTGTATAGCTAATGTAGAAAAGGATGAACTCTTGTTCCCGTGTCTGGGGCAAAAACCGTGCTTCGTACACACAGACCTCTGCCAGATTACCTCTTCTTCAGTGGTGTCTAGGCTCAATAAATATACTCAAGGACAAGACACAAAATCTTCGGAAAATTTATATTTCCTTGGTTTTGGAGTCAGTTTATCAATAAATATCACATGTCATACCTCAAATGATGCATACTGTTGTTACCTTCATCTCCAATCACTAATTCAATGAAGCATCTGTTGATAAAAGCATCAAATAAGCAACCGTATATTTAATGGAGCGCTTCGGCTATTTCCGTTATTCAAATGTTTATTCCCAAAGTCAAATGTCTTTTCTGAGAATATGACGCCACTCCGGATGACGTCACATCAGAGATTACCAAGAAACCCCATGACGTAATCCTGTACAAACAATAATAACGGATTGTTAGGCTACACGATCATTACTTTCATTGGCTGTTTGTTGCGATGTGACGTAATTTGAGAGACGAACAACATCGGACATTGCCGGGAAATTACCGAAACACTCCATTAAATGTATCTTCTTTATGCTCTGAAAATTTGAAAGAAATATCCCAGGAAAATTTGATTTACAGCGTCAATAATTGATATCATCCAACCATTCAAACTAATACATAAAGAAGAGATTATAGGGTAAATATTGATCAATCAATGTTTGACAGATGGAAATAAAGGTCAGTACGAGGGTCATACTTTTAGGTGGTCATTTTTTTGATGAATCATGTTTGGCTTGTGTCTCATCTTCCCATTTATCCTTTGAGCCTACTACCAATAGGGGCTGGATCTAGCTCCGGATCTGTGGTACCCAGTTACGAGTTAGTAGAGTCCATTTCACTGCTTCAGTTCGTCAGTAGAACGGCAAAAATAAGAAATTGGGAGACCATTGTGCAATAATATATGGAAAAGTATATTCATAATGTACATGAATGACATTTGTATATCCTGGATTGCTTCTAGTTTGGCTTATAAAGTGTGTGGCCTCTTATATTTGGATGTTTCTCTGCCATGTTATTTTCAATAAGATTTACATGGCTGAAATTCTTCAAATTACAAGACGGCACAGGCTTATTGCACAAAAAACTAAAAAATCTGAAATATACAAATGTCATTCATGTACATTATGAATATACTTTTCCATATATTATTGCACAATAGTCTCCCAATTTCTTATTTTTGCCGTTCTACTGACGAACTGAAGCAGTGAAATGGACTCTAGATCTACGGAATAGGCGGGAAAAACATACATTGGGAAACTGATAGGCTAGAGTAGCCTATAACTCAGATCTAAGCTTCGATAGTTTTCAGAAAAGTAAATAGTTTATCTATGAAAACTTTGTATGAGCAAGCAACCTCAAAACTAGTATTAGATGTGTCAAAAAAGCCAAAATATAAACAAAAAAATCAAAACATATTTACCCGGAAGTGGAAGTTGCTTCCGAGATCTTGCGCGATTTCAGGCGAGATTAAAAATTCACGAATTTGATTGGCTAATGGAAATATTCCACCAAATTTGATTTTCGTTCTACAGAGAAGTGTAAGTATTTTCACATTTTTAGTTTTTACTAAGTCTAAGTGCTATAATATTGAAAACAAAGCAGCATTCATGTAAGTTAGGCTACCACGATTCGAAATAAATCGAAATATGTGTCGCCAGATATAGATATAGCAACTGAATGAATCTAAAAATTTGATTTGATTTTCATCATTTGACTAGGCCTAGATCTAGTCATATAAATCCGACCGTTGTATGCTGTTCTTCGATATTCCTTGTTCTTATTTGGATATTTATTTTTTATCATTTTCTTTGCATACACCGACCCTTGTATGCAAGAAAATAAGAAAAAATAAATATCCAAATCAGAAAAAATAACAACTAATAACATCATACGAGGGTCAGATTTATATTTATGTTCATGTAGAGTATAGATATGGCCGTGAGAGTCGTACATGTAAAATTATTAATATAAAATTAATATAAATAAATATTGAGCCAATTAACACAAAACACAATACCTTGGAAAATAATGGCTAATTTAAGTTAATTAGCTACAAGAGTTTACACTTTGACATAACTGTTAATTAGCTCAATTGGATATATTATAATACCATCTCCAACTCATCTTCTTGGGCGAAAATAAATCTCCAACTGGTGGTGTAAGCTGGGGAAGGAGGTGAGGGAAAAGAATCGAAATGTATAACTTACATTGATGTTAATGGATTTTGTACGCACCTAGGGAGAAAACCCTCCAACTACAATCCTATCGAAATCTCGTCTGAAGTCTCATCTCGTACTCTCGAGATCTGAAGCTTGATGTTTCGTTCAGTGTAACTTACCAGAAACATTTACCTGGGATAACCGGGGAATGGTCTTCTTAGGGCTTGTTCATACCTAAACCTTAACCGACTCTCACATTGCCATAAATGAAATTATTGTCAATAATTTGAATTTATGTTCATGTAGAGTATAGATATGGCCGTGAGAGTCGTACATGTAAAATTATTAATATAAAATTAATATAAATAAATATTGAGCCAATTAACACAAAACACAATACCTTGGAAAATAATGGCTAATTTAAGTTAATTAGCTACAAGAGTTTACACTTTGACATAACTGTTAATTAGCTCAATTGGATATATTATAATACCATCTCCAACTCATCTTCTTGGGCGAAAATAAGGCCATGCGCGATCTCTCGCGAGAGCCCAAAAGAAAAGAAGATTAATTAGAAAGTAGTTAAATCATTCATTGATACACACAAATCGATACATGAATACCAAAATATAAGAACATCATAGAAATGAACTAAAGTAAATCCGCAAATTCTGAAATAAGGATGGACAAATTAATGTAATGTAATGTAATATGCTGTAAATCTCAGGTAAGATAAAGGAATTAGAATTGAATGAAAATTTTTGAATTCAGAAAGTGCGGGTTTATCTCAATTAAATTTCTAGTACATCATGAAGAAAAAACAGTAGCTACTTGAAATTTGCATGCTCGACACCTGTTTGAGCCGACTTTGGGGTTTACATGAAAATTGAATACTCGACACCTGTCTGAGCAGCTTTGGGGCTTTAATGAAAAAAAAGCATACTAGACACCAGTATGAGTTTATAAATGTCTACCTAATATATTTTTTAATGTATGTATGTATGTCATCTCCCAATCTTTTGATAGTATAGTTATCAAGTCCAAGATTTGTGGCCCATGTAGCTCCGCCTATCCGCAAACTGTGGCATTTAGAAGGTAGGATCTACCTGACATTGAACAAAGAGTTTGTGAAGAAAATTGTTAAATACAGAAGTCTTCACTGGAGCATCTCTATAAATGAAAAGAGGACCTGATTTAAAGGACCATATGTTCAGGTACAACTTCATATGTAATACTGGACAACAAGATGGTAATTGAGAATTAATTGATATCGTAGCAGGAGATGAGCTATGTTTAAAATGTGAAAAAGTAATAATGAAAAAGGCTTCATCGGGAGAGAATTTAATACTTTCTAACTGTAAGTTGTGTCCTGCGGAAGTACTTGTCAACTCACTACTTCTTAGTAAGCCAAAAAGGCTGTAGATAACATAGCTCTGTACAAGACTTGAGCAAAAGGGTCAAAATCTACTTCAGAAGTTTTAGAAACCATTTGTTTTAACAAGGCTGTGTTGATTGGCAATCTAGTGTCTATGCTAGGATTTTGTTTACAAAAACCGGAAACTATTTGAGAGACTACATAAGAAGTAGTGGGATCCTTGAAATTGTTAATTGTGAAAATATGATAAATATGATATACCAGACAGAACTGACTTGAATGAATTAGGGGCATGATTCTTTAAACGAAGATGTGCTGCAAAAAGGCTAGCAGAGGCTGGGGTTAGAGGAAATTCACCTATACCTGTCTGGGAGTTGAACTGTACTAATAAATCATATGACTTTCTGGTAGATGGGGCTTGGGCAGCTTGAAGTGCTTCTAAAAGATAAAAAGTAACATAAATTGTTTCTAGATAAAGCGTCAGCAGCAGAATTATGAATATCAGCAATGTGTTCACTTTGAACATGATATTGTTTAAGAGACATTTTAATATATAGGAAGTAAGAGTTGCATGGACGTTTGATTGCTGGTAGAAAATTTATTTCGGTATGTTCACTACTGCTTCATTGTCAGAATGCAGGATAACTTAGCCTTGCCCCAAGTCGGTCTCTTTTACTTATCTTGATTTCTATTATGACCGCCTTGTACCAAAGAGAAAGCCACGTGCTTTACCGACAGTTTGTTTATGTCGGTGATTTTGACCAATAGCACGCGATCTTTCAATGTCTAAATTTAGGTTACAAACACACGAGGTAATACAGTTGTTGATTTTACTCCAATCAGCAAGTTAGTATCGGAACCTTTGATAGTGGCATTGTGGGAAGTCCTACCTCGCTTTACTTTCATCAGCTAGCAAAACTGAAAATGACCCTCGCAAAATCGATAAACGTTTTATTTGCTGAATATAATTGAAAGTAATTCGAATGTAGTGAACCGATTTAATATCAGAAAGTTGATGACTGATCAGTTCACATATAAACACTTATAGTTATGCTGTAAAAAGGATAATGAAAAGTTATTATGTTTCTGGTGAATGCATTTTATTTGTAAGGGAGATACCTGGATTTGCAGACTGCAAGCATGCCGCATATAACTTCACAACCGCATGGCGAACACGTGGATTTATTTATTGATTTTTGTGTATGACTACCGCTATTGGCTAATGCTATAGCGCACGCGTAATAGTTGGTGCATAATTTATCATAATAACAGTGGAGATGTATCGGATTACACAAGGCGGTAATAATTCAAGATCAGATAAAGTAAAAAAAATACCGACTTGGGGCAAGGCTAAGGATAACTGTGTGTCCAGACATAAGTTTTGCCTATGTAAGTATAGCAGTAACAATAGGATATAATTCGAGAATATTGATGTCCAATTCTTTCCATTCTGATGGACATTCCCCTTTAAACCAAAGATTACTAGTATTGCAAACGGCTCCATAGCCTATCGTAGTAGAAGCATCGGTAAAAGATGCAATTGTTCTCTTGTCTCTTGTTCTTCTGTAAGGAAAATAGATTTCCCATTAAAGGGAATTAGAAACTATTTCCACATTAATAAATCCTGCATAGATGGAGTGTTGATTAAGATTTTATAATGTAGCTCCTTCATTTTTTAGATAGATGAATAGATATTGAAATAAATGATCTACCGAAAGGAATCACACAACAACAGTAGCTAAGGAATCCTATAGCAGATAAAAGTTCTCTTTTTGAGACTTTCTTTGGTTTTGGCTTAATGGTAAAGGGGATGATGTTACATAAAGTGTCAATGATTGTTTTGCCATTTCCATGAGCAAACAAGCTTCTAATAGTCTTACACAAGAAGCAACCTTTTCCTAAATGTTTTATAATATCTATGGCTTGTTGTACGGTTGCATATTTAACTGTAGAAGTTTCGTCTGGGATAGTATCATTATGGATTGGCCTCTGGCATTGTCTGGGATGTGATAAGTTGTGAATAACACAGAATTCACCTGGAGATTTTTAGGAACGAGAAATAAGGGTGAAATAATATCAAACATATGTCAAATGGTGGCTGGTCAAAAGGTCCAAGTATTCTACCAGCTTTAAGCTCTTTGTTTAAATTATTTGAGAGCTTCTGGGTTCTTAGAAAAGATGACAAATTATCATGAGTAATGTTGTAATGTTCTGGCAAATCAGAGTGAGGAAATTTAAATCCGTACTAGAAACCATGAACTGTTTATTCTTGATGTTCATAGCCTTCAAGCTAAATCTGAGTCTTTCAGGTTTAACTGGAGTAACAACTTGTGTTGACATAAGTTCACTCGAAGGGTTTTTTGGAGTCTCCAGTACCTGAGCGCTTTTTGTTGGGGAATTGGGCTTGCCTGCCGTTGTTGCGGGAGTAACATTTTGCAAGTTGGGCAGGTGTGGTTAAAGGGACAAGGGGATATATATTTCAAGAGGTGAGGGGTTTGATCATGAAATCTTTGGGTATAGACAGCAATAAATATACTGAATGCTCGGACCCATTCTGGAAATGAAAGGATTTTCCCTTCTTTGAAGGGTTTAAATTCAAATGTCTTGATTCAAAAGAATTGTAAGATTACATCTCACAGAGGACATAATCATTGTTTTTGTCTTCTTCAATACAATCATGAATCAATACATGAATACCAAAATATAAGAACATCATAGAAATGAATTAAAGTAAATCCGCAAAATCTGAAATATGGACAAATTAATGTAATGTAATATGTTGAAAACTGGGAATTGGATTCATTGAAGCTACTGACACCTGTCCTTGTAGCATGGCATTTGTGTTGGGAATTAATCCATAAGCTGTAGAGACGGGTTGGGAATTATGAAAAGATGAAAGGTTAGTAGAGA